ACTTATATTTCTGTTTTTTAAAATTAATTAAATAATGCTTGTAATATACTAATCAAATGGATTGTGGCTATTTGGAGATCATAGAATGTAACAGAAGTGTGAGAAATTGATAAAAGTCGTAAATTAAATATGGGAATAACTAATAAATTGTCCTGCAATTGACAATTAGATACTTCGCTTCTCGTATTCAAGCTTCTGATATAAAAAATTTCTTCGAATTATATAGTAGAATTTGTAATGAATAAAAAAATGAGATGGGATTTTAGTTCGATGCCCTTCAGGATCACACAGACTTGCATGCGGGACTAGAACAAGACACTGCTGTGGAGCAGGGCAAGGAAGCCAATGAACTGCACGAATTTCTCAATCCGGTTGGTTTTGTAACGACTAATCACAGTAAAATATTATTTATGATTCTAAATGAATTAGATAATAAAGTATATTTTTAAAATATTTTTTCAACAAACAAGCCACTAATAATTCATCGGGACGGTATCTCTTATGTTTAAGGATAATTGACTGGTAAATCTTAAATCCCGGATATGCATGATTTGTGCTTTATGAAAGCCTGTTTTATGTGATTGTCACGTTTAATGCAAATTCCTTAAAACCTCAAAGCCGATTTGCAAACTTATAAAATTTACTTTTCCTCAAATGCTCGATTTCTTTCTTTTTTTTTTTAAGGTGTCGAATCATTTTACTATCGTACTTTGCATGCAGCAACACATTTATTAAACGCTTGTCCTTTAAATCGAATGAAGATTCACTCTTTGTTTCTTTTTGTTTTCGCGAAGAAAAATACATATGTTATATATTATTTTTATTCCATTTAGAATAATGAGTACATTCAATCAGTGGCACGATGTCTCCAAATGATGCTTCGTATAGACGAATATCGCTTTGCGTTTGTGTCCGTCGATGGAATCTCGACTCTCCTTAGCGTTCTGTCTGGCAGGGTAAACTTTCAGGTACAATATCAGCTCATTTTCTGTCTGTGGGTACTTACTTTCAATCCTCTGTTAGCTGAAAAGATGAACAAGTAAGTAGCTTACTCTCTTATTTTACTCGAGATACTCTAATGGATAATATTCCGTATAATCACGATATTATTTAATTATATTATATCATAGATTCAATGTTATACCCATTCTTGCCGATATACTCAGCGACTCGGTCAAAGAAAAAGTAACACGTATTATACTTGCAGTATTCAGGGTAAGTCGGAATGTATGTTGCAAAATAGAAAAAAAATAATTGATATGATGAAATAAAACTCTTTCATTGTTCGTCTTTTTCTCATATAACAGAATTTGATCGAAAAAGTAGAAGATGGACAAGTTGCCAAGGAACATTGCATCGCTATGGTGCAATGCAAAGTATTGAAGCAGCTTTCGATATTATGCCAACGAAAGTTCGACGACGAGGACATCACGGATGATATCGAATTCCTCAATGACAAACTACAAGCATCCGTGCAGGATTTAAGTTCGTTCGACGAATATTCGACGGAAGTAAAGTCAGGTCGCCTGGAGTGGTCACCTGTTCACAAATCAGGCAAATTTTGGCGCGAAAATGCCAGTCGTCTTAATGAAAAGAATTGTGAACTCTTGCGAATTCTAGTTCATTTATTAGAAACTAGTAAAGACCCACTTGTTCTCAGCGTGGCCAGTTTTGACATTGGCGAATACGTGCGCCATTATCCACGTGGCAAACAGTATGTTGATTTATATATATCATATTTATACTGTATTACTCCATATTATATTTAAATTGTTTATAACTACAAACATTTTAACAAATATATTGAAATACCGTGTTACATGTATATTTCAGTATAATTGAACAACTCGGCGGAAAACAACGCGTGATGCAACTTCTCGGACACGAAGATCCTAACGTTAGATACGAAGCTCTCCTTGCAGTGCAAAAACTTATGGTACACAATTGGTAAGTGACAAACAACAGTCTGGATTTTTCGCATATATCTTTCTGAAAATTTACGTATGTTATGACATATAACTATTAATAATTATAAGAATTATACTTTAAGTTAAATATTTCCATATATCCTATACAGTTTTTTTATTTTATCTAATTTATATACGATTTCGTATTTCAAATTGTTTGCTTTCTAGGGAATATCTTGGAAAGCAATTAGAGAAGGAACAGACAGGTGGAGCATCTACCAACAAGCCTGGAACACAAGTACCGGCGAAAGCTTGAATATTTACATTATACAACTTGTACAAATTTTCAGATTTCAAGAGTGTTTCAAGAGTATTATAGTTTGCGTGATATAATCTATCATCCGCTTATTGAAAAACATATGTAACTGACATATTTACATTCCCTTCCATTCTATATATATCATTGTAACAAAAGATATATAAATCGAATTCTCTTTTGTGCAATCTAATTTTGTAACATAACTGTTGATCAAATTATGTATATAGACGATGCGTTTTGCATCGCAATGGGTATATAAACGTTGGTGTAAGAAACTTCATCGTGTAATAACTTTATGAATAGAATGTTGTCGAATGTTAGAAAATAAAATTTTATTCTGTTGAAAAAAGTCATATTCGTAATATATATATATACATACAATCATATTGTCCGCGGTTGGTTAAACTCGTTTAAATTTCATTTTAACGTTTATATTGCAGGATGCTAATTGTATCAAAAGGAATCTAAAAATATATGGTATTTCGATTTCCTCTACGAAATCTTCTTCACCGCATAGACGGCATCTTTTTTCATCTTCACGGTATTTACTTTTCGATATTACTTCTGGTCCAAGTAATGACCCGCACTTTAGACATCCTAAAGTCTGCAAACAAATGATTATATCAGATGACCGAGAATTGTGCATATAAATAAATAATACTTAACCAATTCATAAATAAAATATTAAAGAAAGTCATATCTTACCGTAATTTTATCGGAACAATGAAAAAGACGATCTTGAAGAAGATATGAGCAACCATGAGAAATCAAAGCGTCTCGTTCCATTTCTCCAAATCGAATACCGCCACCACGTCGACGACCTTTGATAGGTTGCCTCGTTAGCATGTCTATCGGTCCGGTACTTCTCACCTAGAAATGAGATGTGTGTTCAACTTATTTTCATTATTACAGAAAATGAAATTACTAATTATTAAATATTGTATTTAGAAAATGTAAAAAATGAAATAAGAAAATCCTTTGAAGAATTACAATCAAAAACGAATAGTAAGCAAAGACAAAAAAAACGAAAGAAATCCTATTTTTATTAAATGTTGATGCAAAAGTGTCCATAAGCTATTTACCTGCCACTTATCAGAAACCATGTGTCGCAATCTTTGGTAATGTACAATGCCAAAGAAGATACTGGCTGTCATTTCGCGTCCATAAAAACCTGAATACATTCTTTCGTTTCCGTAATAATTATAACCACCGAGTTCTAATAATTTTCCAAAATAGTCAATGGCCGTATTGTCCTCGTCGAATCTAAAGGGTGTGGCATCATGAACCAATCCGTGTATAGCCGCCGATTTTCCGGCCATTACTTCAATCATCATAGCTATGACAAAGGAAAACAATAATTTATTTAATTAATTTACATGACTATTGACGTTCATTAATTACATCTGCGTAATTTTTTGTGAATGCTTTAATTTTTAATATTAATAGCTAAACATTTAGAATAAACTTATAATTAAAAGGCATTTGATATTATTATATATCATATTATTATTCTAACAACATAATTCGCAATTTACCTATTGTCATACGACTCGGGAAACCATGTGGATTAAATATAATATCAGGAACCATTCCGGTCTCTGTAAACGGTAAGTCCTCGACAGGATATAGTCGCGAGAGAATTCCTTTTTGCCCCGCTCTTGACGCAAACTTATCTCCAACCATAGGATTTCTCTAAAAATTTAACATATATTTAAATGATGTAATTCGTGTTTAAAAATACATATTTACGATTATATATATGAAATACTACACACACACACACACACACACACACATATGTGTATATATGGTGTGTGTGTGTGTGTGTGCGCGCGCGCGCGCGCATGTGCGTATGTATCATATGTATCATGTTGTACTAACAGGAACACGGAATGTAATGCATGCTCTTCGGGGATCCTGATTCAATGTACCGCACAATTTTACAGTGTCGACGTAAGCATTTTCTGTGCCTTTGTATTTTCCAATGACATATTGAGCATTTTCGGCATCGTAATAACTGTCAAATATGCAGATTATCGATAAGATTTCAAAATAAAAAAGCAACATAACAATGCTAAAGCTATAAGATCTACTTACGAATAATACGGATCTCCCTCTTTGATAAGAGTACCTGGTATAGGCAAACCGTCAACATCGATTGTTTTTGCAAGCTCAGGTTTCTCTAAATTGCGAGCGAAGTAACTTTTTTATCATTTAAATCAACAAATTCAGACTTATAAATCGTTCCATGTCCGAAACCACGTTCGTACGATGATTTATTGATGACCATCGCATCTTCCATATCATATCCCTGTACATTTCCGATTATCGACACAAAATTATAAAACAAATAATAGAATGTCTCTCTAATATTAGAAATTAAACAGCAGAATACTAACTTACCGTATATGAAATAACAGCGATTATCGCATTAGTACCCATTGGAAAGTCATCCATATTAATATTATCATAATGTACTGGCCTAAAGAGTGGTGCAGCGGGTGTTTGCAATCTATATAATTTCGTTTGTGACTGTTGTTGCCAATTGTGACATGGTGTACCCATAGTTTGCTTACCCATCTGAAAAAATATTGACATATTCAAATCATCATACTATTAATGTTATTAATATTCACAATCCTTCAAAATGCAAACTGGAGCACTTCTAACTCAAAACTTTACAAATCATTATTACTTATAAATTATTTCTGCAAATATACAAATGGTGTTCATACTTTTACATACGAACAGTAAATGTTGAAATATGTTAATCTGATGTATTATAGCTTTACCTGACACTGATACATGTTTCTTGGACTCTGGTTACAATCCGGCAACGGAATAAGATTAGCTAAATTGCTAAAGATTGTTGTTTGACTTACTTCTTGATGAGTCGTTATCTAGCAAGACAAAGTAAAAAAATAAAAAAAATTACAAATTTTTAAAAAATGAAAAAATGATATAAAAAATTATAGTTACTCCTTCATATGCTTCTTGAGGAAGCACGCAGATATCCATATAAATTTGCTCAAATGTCCCTATGAATTCAATCTGCTGTGTAGCTAAATTTATCACTGGTCTCATCATTCTAGCTGCATTAGTAAATAAAAATAATCCCGGATACTGAGCTGGAACATTTCTCTTTGGCACCAATGCAATTTCTAATGTTGATGGTACCTAAAAAAAATATATATATAAAATATGCTATGCACATGAACAAGTTAAATAAAAATTATGACGTTTGCAACTCACTTCTTGACCCTTTGTCTTAAGCAATCTAAGCTTATACACTACTTTATTGATAATTTTGTCCTGAATTAACCCGATTAATTTTCCATCTAATAACACACTATATGAATTTTTCCAATCATCTGCGATAGATAATGGAATCATTCCAAGCTCTACCAATACTGCAGGTATCCCGGCTTTTAATTTTGGATCTGGATGTTTTGTGACAATGCAATTCATTGTTAAGTGATTGAGCAAACCGCATGGAGCGCCATCCGGTGTATGAATCGGACAAATAAATCCTGTAAAGAAATAAATAATTATAATTATTTAAAATTATAAAAATTTTTATAATTTTATAAAACATAATTATACAAGAAATCTTTAATCACCCCATGCATCAGGCAACAACCGTCTAGCTTCGGTAGTTCTCATATCTTGAAAGAATGCGCCTCTATGTATCGCACGGAAATGACTCATATAACGCATCCTGTTGATATTTTCCACGAAAATTGTAAGACCAAAGGTTTGCATGAGCCCCAGACCAGTGGACGATTTTACGCTTCCAGTGGATAAGAAGTACTCCATTTGCGAATCAATATTACTTCGTACTTTAGTGACATTTAACATTTCCTCTAAATAAGAATATCTCGAGATAATTATCTTTATTTCTTGATTTTTTCACGAAAAATTGATATTACAAGTAAAATACTTACGGACATTTAAGGTGTATCTATTACCAGCACTCTTGGCACGCTTGAGAATATAATGTTTGAGCCCTGCTAGCCATGAACTCAGTTTCTCTTTGAGAACTTGTAGATACAAGTGACCACCCAACAAACATTCTTGCATCATTACGGCATCCGCACCCTCAACAACGCATTTGTTATTCGCAAAAGCGAAGAGCTTTTTAGTCATAAATGCGAGTAAATGAAATTTGTCAATAGGCTCATCAAGATGAATAGCGACGCAATGCCTATATGATAAAATATAGCGATAATATTGTAAGATACATAAGAAAAGAAATTACGTAAGAATTTATACAAAATTAATAAAACAAACTCACTTAATGATGTAATTGCAAACATCTATATCAGTTGCATCGGCAGGTAATTCAGAGAATTTTACCTTAAATATCCTTCCTATATATGCTTTACACTGTTCATGCCAGTGTAAACCTTCTTCATGTATAGCACGTAACATATTCATAATACAATTATTATAATAATGATCATCTTCACAACCAGCAATTAACGTTTTATAAATATATAAATCGGTCACATCTATCAAACATTTTAACATCATTATTAATGGCACGTAGTACGTAGATTTTCTGTAGGTAAATGCAAATTTCGCAGATCCATCGGTTACATAGTGCAGCACGTTGTTCTGCAAAGAAACATAAAAAAATATAATATAAAAACAAAAAAATAATCTATGAAAAAAAATTCTATTCAGATACATACAACAGTAGTATTATCTTCCCGCACACTCCTTAAAAAAATGCCTAACTCACTAAATTGTTCACCACGACCTTTCCAAACTGGCCTATTAATAGCAATTGGATAATTCCGTCTTGTCATTATTAACATACGTACAAGTCGCTCTAAACCTTTGATTATAAAATAACCTCCCCATTCTTGTTCATGTTCACCATGAGCAATTAATTCCTCAGGACTCATTTTGTTCAGATGGCATCGATTAGACTATAAAATGTATCTTTATAAATAAGACTTATATAAATAAAAATATTTGGAATTACATGAGGTAATAAGAATAAAAAGGTTCATTTAATTAAAAGAAAATTATATTTAAATGTTACCTTGACCATGATTGGAACTTCCCCCAGATCCTTCTCAAGAATTTCTTGTTCTTTACCATTAACAGACCATCCAAGTCTCACCATTATCTTACCCTTATATGTACCACCTCTCTGTCGACATTCTGTTGGATATATTTTATATGTTTTTACACCAATTGTACCAGAGGGAACACTGGGCTTATGGATATGTACATCATCCAGCCAGAGGACTACTTTATCGTCATTAGGAAGAGTTAAATATACTGGTGTGCTGTCTTTTATACTTTGGGAAAGACCATCTTCCAACATATAATTAAAAGAATCAATATGAGGTGTACCTAGAGATTGCAATAGCTAAAACATAGCAAATAGCAAAATTGATTATTTAATTTTCTGAGCTTTATCAAGGTATTTTTTTTTTTATACATATATCAAACTTTATAGTTTTTTAATATTATAGCATAAATACAAAATGTTCTTTATTGATTTAATCTTATACAAAAATTTAGAATATAAGTAATAAAAGAAAAATTAAACATTTACACTATATTAAAAAAATAAATTTTAAACTTAAAACTCCTTTTTATTTCTATATTAATAATTTATAATAATAATTATATTAATCCTTAAATTCTTAAAAGTTCTAACTTAAAATTATTTAAGTTAGAAATGTTTTGAAAAAACGATTTTAATTATCATTTTGTAGGTCTTTAGTTTATGTGATAGTAACCTCGTTTTGTTTGTCCGATGGTTTACCAAAGTTCGGTGATGTATTCGTTAATTTCGGATCAAGCAACATGTTTGAAAAATTTGCCACAAATTATATAGATCACGATAATTTTTCCAAAAATTTTACTTTCAGTTATAAATGTAAATCTCAAGATTCTATCAACTTCACGTGCACACTATATTCATATGTATAATCATATAACACCCGCTACATCGCCATGTGAATAAGATGCGTTCCAGAAGCATCTCATTCCGGTCTGTTTTAGTGTCGGTCCATAATAAATATTTAATCTTTAAGCCGTAAGAAATTGACCAATTGTAGTCGAGTATTTTTTTCAAATTCGATTATAATTGGTCAATTTCTTACTTCTTAAAGCTTAAATCACCTATTGTGGACCGACACTTATGCGTCGTATGCGGTGTCGTTTTACAATGCGTCGTATGTCGTGTCGTGGGAATGGGCCAATCACAATCAAGTATTCTCCCACATTCAATTGTGATTGATCAATTCTTGTGGTTTGTGGCTTGCACATCGATACACAACATTGTAGAACAAGTCTCCAAAAATATCGTCCAAGGTGCTCCCCATATGATGGGGAGTGCAGTTAGTGCTGCAAATGCTTCGAAGCATTTTTTGATTGGTCAAGTGAAAAAATTCTTTGTTTTGATTGGTCAGTCAAACATTTCAAAGCATTGTAACGTTAAAAGAATCGTATCTTTTATTTAAGGAATTTTAGTTGGAGGGGAAAACCAATATGTTGAACAGTTTGAATTCAAAGCAGTGTCACGTGCTTTGAAACGGAAGTATTACTATTTTCTAATATATAATTTGGGGAAAAAAGCATTACTCACAAACAAAACAACTTCAGGATTTGTTTTTTTAGGAATTAACAACGGTTCTTGTATTTAGTTAAAATAAGGTATTCTATATGTATAAATATATACATTTAGATATGTAGAAGATGTATTTCTTTTACATTTATTGCATTTCACGTATATAAAACAAATTTTAATTGTTTAATATTATTTAGCATATTTATTAATGAAAATAAATTTATAGACAAATAGGGCCAGATGGATAACCTGGAAGAGATAATTGACAATCAAGTCAAGAAATTGCAGGAATTGGATGAGGCCACATTATTGATAAAAGGTATATTGTCAAAGGTATATTGTTGTGATCAAAGGTATATTGTTATTTGTTGCATTCTTAAATTTCATGTTATGAATTCTTATGAAATTATTTTTTTTATCATAAAATCATATTTTACTTAATACAGGTAAACAAAATATAAAGGATGAACTTCAAAGAATGCATGAAGAAATGTTGCAACTCTCATATAGTGTTGAGAAAATGAGAAAACTTTTAAAAAGGATGAATGAACAGAATTTTCATTTAAAGGTAAATCAAGAATAATAAAATTATTAAGGATTATTATCAAATTTAGTTGGAAATGAATTGAAATTCCTTTTGTTTATGTAAAGGAAACATTAGTGTTGATCGAAACATTGGATAAAAGGATTCTTCATCAAGAAGAAAATGTTCCACCAGAGCTTATTCAAAGTTACCAAAACTCAATCATTCTCATTCCTAATACATCGGAGAGTACTGTAAACTCAATACATCAACTGACAACACAAAGTATATCTAGCAACATTCATAATACCAGCAAAATAGAAAAGCAAGATGTAATGAAAGATTGTAAAAGGACACTTTTTAATGAACCAGAAGTGTGTCCAACCATACCATTTATAACCACAGAAGAATTTAACAAAGTGCCTAAGTATATTATTGGGAGGCAAACCTTGGATACAATTAATAATTTGATAGGAGCCATAAATCAGACACTAATTGCAAAGTATACAATTTTATCTTTAGGAAAAGTTGCTGCTCAGAAAAAGGGTGAAATTAATTTATATTTACACTATAAGAAACAAGAGTTTGATATAAGAGAAGAAAATGGTAAATTTTCAGTCTTGATACTGATGATATAAATATATTTACAAATAATTGTAAATATATTTTAACATATAAACAATATATTATAAACATAATAAGTCTAAAATGTATATCTTGTATTAATTTTCAGGATACCTCTATTTTTTTACAGCTGAAGATTATTATAGACAAACGAAAACAAAGATTGATAAGACCAAGTTGAACTTAATAACTGCATTGCGCCATTGCAAACGTTTACGGGAGTGTAGGATAAAAAATGAATTGCGATATATTATAACACCACATTAATTTAAGTTAATGTATGATCCTTTTTGTTATGGATTTTTAATATAGCTTTATCATAATAAAAATATATTCTATCATTGATGTTACTAACACTAAGTCAGAATCTTAGAATGAATATAAAATATATAAGATATGCTATATTTCTTAAAATAGTTATTTTTGAGATATTAATATTTTTATACATAAAATAATTAAACAAATAAATAGAAATAGATAATTAGAAAGTTTTATGTAAAAAAATTTAGATTCTAAGATATATGAATTATAAAAATATCACAGAATTGGCCATATTATTAAAATTATTGTATTAAATAATTTTTATTTTAGTATCTAGTCTCAAAGTTTTAAATTTTCTTTTACATATGTATATCTCATATGTGCAAAACTATATATATATATATATAATAAACTTTTATTATTTTTATTTTCTTTATTTACTATTGAAGACAAAATAGAAACCGGAAAAAGTAGATTCAGTTGTTCAGAAAGAGCAGGCAA